CACTCATTCCCCCACACACACTCCAGACATCCAACTCACACACTCACAACACTCATTCCCCCACACACACTCCAGACATCCAACTCACACACTCACAACACTCATCCCCACACACACTCCACACACCCAACTCACACACTCACAACACTCATTCCCCCACACACACTCCAGACATCCAACTCACACACTCACAACACTCATTCCCCCACACACACTCCAGACATCCAACTCACACACTCACAACACTCATCCCCACACACACTCCACACACCCAACTCACACACTCACAACACTCATTCCCCCACACACACTCCAGACATCCAACTCACACACTCACAACACTCATTCCTCCACACACACTCCACACACCCAACTCACACACACACACTGTCCCACACATGCCACACACCCAACTCACACACACACAACACTCATTCCCCCACACACGCCACACACCCAACTCACACACACACACACTGTCCCACACACTCCACACACCCAACTCACACACAACACTCATTCCCCCACACACGCCACACACCCAACTCACACACTCACAACACTCATTCCTCCACATACACTCCACACACCCAACTCAAACACCACACACACTGCCCCACACACTCCAGACATCCAACTCACACACTCACAACACTCATTCCCCCACACACACTCCAGACATCCAACTCACACACTCACAACACTCATTCCCCCACACACACTCCAGACACCCAACTCACACATACACAACACTCACTCCCCCACACACACTCCACACACCCAACTCACACACCACACACACTGCCCCACACACTCCAGACATCCAACTCACACACATAACACTCATTCCCCCACACACATGCCACACACCCAAGTCACACACTCACAACACTCATTCCCCCTACACACACCACACACCCAACTCACACACACACAACACTCATTCCCCCTCACACATGCCACACACCCAACTCACACACCACACACACTGCCCCACACACTCCAGACATCCAACTCACACACATAACACTCATTCCCCCACACACACACTCCACATACCCAACATACACACCACACACACTCCCCCACACACGCCACACACCCAACTCACACACTCACAACACTCATTCCTCCACATACACTCCACACACCCAACTCAAACACCACACACACTGCCCCACACACTCCAGACATCCAACTCACACACTCACAACACTCATTCCCCCACACACACTCCAGACATCCAACTCACACACTCACAACACTCATTCCCCCACACACACTCCAGACACCCAACTCACACATACACAACACTCACTCCCCCACACACACTCCACACACCCAACTCACACACCACACACACTGCCCCACACACTCCAGACATCCAACTCACACACATAACACTCATTCCCCCACACACATGCCACACACCCAAGTCACACACTCACAACACTCATTCCCCCTACACACACCACACACCCAACTCACACACACACAACACTCATTCCCCCTCACACATGCCACACACCCAACTCACACACCACACACACTGCCCCACACACTCCAGACATCCAACTCACACACATAACACTCATTCCCCCACACACACACTCCACATACCCAACATACACACCACACACACTCCCCCACACACGCCACACACCCAACTCACATACCACACATTGCCCCACAGACTCCAGACATCCAACTCACACACAACACTCATTTCCCCACACACACACCCCACACACCCAACTCACACACAACACACACTCCCCCAAACACTTCACACATCCAACTCACACACTCACAACACTCATTCCCCCCCACACACTCCACACACCCAACTCACACACACACAACAGTCATTCCCCCACACACACTCCACACACCCAACTCACAGACACACACACTCCTCCCACACACACTCCACACACTCAGAACATTCACACCACCATGCACACACACACACATTCTGCACTTGCACACACTTCCGATGCAAAACCTGCCTCTCTGTGGAGGAGTCTGAAGGTGTCCCCCCATCCCCAGCACAGAGCCGGTCACATGCCCACCCCCCCACAGGAGTCCTCACTCATCTCCCCGTGTGACAGGCCCAGGTAGTGTCCACGCTGAGGACTTCCGGAGATGGTGGTCGGGGTCTGACGGTGCCCTCCTGGGTCCTAGCCCTGATGGAGGTGCAGGAGGGAGACACAGGAGCTGAGGTCACTGCAGAAGTGGCCTGTGCATGCGTTCAGGGAGGGCGGAATGTGACGTGTGTGCGTTATATGGATGAGTGAGGTGTGTCAGGTGTGTGGTGTGTTTGTGATGCTTATTGTGTGTGTGTCGTGTGTCTTGTGCGGTGTGTGGTGTTCACCGTGTGTGATGTGTGTGGTGTTTATTGTACATATGGTGTGCGTGTGTGAGACCGGGCAGTGTGTGTTTGTGTGTGACACCTGTGTGTGTGTTGGAGGGTTGTCACTCACACAGCACCCTCGCCCCTTTCACCCCAGCAGCCCAGCCCCTCAACAACTCACGCACACACATCCCGAGCCCTGAGCCGACGGCCTGGAGTGGGAGGGACGTGCACACATCCCAGGACCTGGGGGCTGAGCGCGGCTGTGGAGGAGGCCGCGGGGGACCCTCATCTCCACTCAGGATGCAGAGCCCCTCCGCCTGTCGCCTAGTTCACGGCTGGCCTGCAACTGTCCCCAGCCTCACTCTCCTCAAACACAAAGGCTTCCTTTTCCTCCGGAACAAAGTCCAAAATGTCCCTCAGCCAGAGAAGATTCCTGCATGCAGGGGTGCACAGCCCACGGCAAGAAGGGTGTCGTAACGTCCCATTGGCTCCCGGTCACCGGTGCCCCGGGAGAACGTGCAGAGCTTCCACAGCCCAGTGAGGCTGACACTGGCCCAGAGCTTGTGCCGAAAACCCAACGCAGGAGGGCAAGGAGACTCCAACAGGGGTCCCCCAGAGGAAGGAAGCCCTGGGCGCAGAGCAAGGTGGGCAGGCCTGGGGTTTGCAGCCAGACCGGGGGACAAGCACCGAGCCAGCCTGTCTGCTCCTGAAAGCCCCAGATCACTCTGCCACCCGGCTCCATGGAGCACTCTGTTGCCCAGATGATTTTTTTTTAGCAAGAAAAGAAGTTAGACTAGTATTTTCTTTGCAAACCTGGCTCTGACAAGGGTCTGAAATGTCTGTTATAATCTGCTTATGTTGAGCAGGGAGCTTCCTTTTCTAATTGACTCTTCACTGGAGAGTAATTAACCTCAAAACTGTTTACAGCCGAGGAATTACAACATGGCTTAGAGATTGCGATTTGAAGGATGGGTGTATGTTAGATTAAAAATCTTTTCTGAGTTTGCTATTACCCTCTCTAAACATGGCAAGGTCCTACACGGGGAAGCTCAGGTTTAGTATAATTAACTTTTAAGGACTTGAACCTGTCTGGATGTGTAATTTCTTCCCACAACATTTGGGAGCTATTATGTAGCCCATGATGTCATTAACATAATTATTGTCAGCATTTCACACTGCAGTTTCTTCCTCTTATAGCTGAACTTGCATACACAATCGTTTTTCTCCTCTACTGGTCATATTGCTTTACTCAGTTCCTCGAACACCGTGTGGCTTCCTATTTCCTAAAGATCGGATCACCTCTTTTTAGTGCAGGACTCTGGGTCCGGGGCCACACCTGCCTCTAAGCTCCAGCCACAGAAGTAGAATCAGGCCCTGAAGACACAGCATGAGCCTTTCTTTGCCCTAGAACACACTTCCTGTCCATGCTCCAGCTAATCCTTTACCCTATGGCATAGTTCAAATGTCCCTTCCTACAGAAAGTCCTCCAGGATTTCCACCCTGTGGTTCACCCAAGAGAGGAGAATTGGAACCAGGCTTCCCCGACCTCTTTTTTGCTGGGAGCCTCCAGGGTAGCATTGGGGTGATGGAAGTGGCTGGTCCAGGAAGAGCTTGATTAAAGTTCAAGGTCAAATTCTGTAGGGTCTGGTTGTCGGCTCCAGGACAGGAAGGCAGCTCCGTTGGCAAGGAAAGGCAGTGACCAGATTCTCCTTCCTCTGACCATGGTTGGTTTTAGACAGTGATACCCGCTACCATCACACCAGACTTTGTTCCTGAAAGTCACTCCCCTCTCCGTGGTCAGGTTCCAAATCAATTAGGCGAGTACCTTGCAAGACTAACACACAGTCAGACAGCTAGTTGCCAAGGGTCACACTTGGGATCAAGTTTTCTTTTAGTCATTTTTGTGTTGGGAAATAAAAAAGTTTGATTACTTGTCTTTTAGAGAAGTTTATGATGACCAAGTCGCTTTTTTCCAGTTCAGTTTTCAGGGGTTCTCAGTAGCAAAAAAATGCTGCTTTTAATTACTTGAGGGTCTTTGAGAGGTCTTCCCTGGTGGTTTAGATGGTGAAGAATCTGCCTATAATACAGGAGACCCAGATTTGGTCCCTGGGTCAGGAAGATCCCCTGGAGAAGGGAGTGGCTACCCAGTCCAGTATTCTTGCCTGAAGAATCCCATGAACGGAGGAGCCTGGTGGGCTGCAGTCCATGGGGTCGCAAAGAGTCGGACACAACTGAGTGACTAAGGCTTTCACTACTTTGGGAGGGTGGGGTTCAGAGTATCTATCAGGTAAATGGAGAGGACCTGGGAGGAAGCGGGACCCCGTGCACAGAACACCGTCCAACCCAGAGCAAATTGGGGCGGGGGGATGGACACTGTCCATTCACCGCCACGATGTCCCCCACCCCATCTGCCGATGTGACACCCCGACCATGACTGATGGGTCTTTGCTTCCATTGGGTTTGCAGCCTTGACCCCCTCTGTCCTTGAGCTCCAGAGGTGACCGTCTGAGACCACTGGGTGGTCCCAGAGCCTGCACCCCGGCCTTGAAAACACGCTCACGGGCAGACCCCTGCAGGGCTCCCGCAGTGCACCCATGCAGTCCGCCCCCATCCTGCACCCTCGATACTCCTGTCTTCTCTAAAGAACCTTTCTGGACAAACCGCACGCACACAGGAATGCACCCTGCATCTCAAGGTCCGCTTCGCAGAGGACAGGCAGGCCTAGGTCTCCACGAGGCACAGCCCGGCGCAAAGGGGCGGGAGACCGGCCCGGTGCTTGCCGAGGATGCGGTGAGCTTGCGGGCGTGGCCTGACTCGATTCCCCTGGGTGCGCCTGAGCGCATGCGCATTCCCTAGTGAAAGCTGACGCTCGGCGGAGCCTCCGCGTCCCAGCCTGGCGCCCGAGCCCCTACCTTCCCTTCCCCGGGCACCCCGTCGCCCGATGTCGCCAGCCTCTGGCTCCTCATCAGGGTCTTGATCGTCCTGATTTCATTCCCTCTGAGGGTAGAAGACCATTAGGAAAGTAAACAGGCATCACGCGTAAGGCTTTACAAACAACAAATGACTGCATCTCAGGCGACTGTCCCTTCCTGTGACTCGGGGTGGGGGTAATCACGGCTGCAATCTGGGGGCAGAAGCCCCCTGGGTTCCACTGAGGATGCAGAAAGTTCTGCTCACACTCCAGCAGGGCCCCGGGGAGAGTGAAACCGGGGCACCCACCGCCCCAGGAGCCGGGCTCAGTGGAGGTGGACGCAGGGAGGGCGGGAGTGCAGGGGCGTGGCCCCCTGTCTTGTGGACACGGAAGGCGAGGCCAAGGTCACCCAGTGCCAGGGCTGGAACCGGGACTGCCTCCCGGTCGGGCCACGCGCTGGGCTGCGTGTGCGCTTGTGTTGGGTGGGGATCCCCCTCCGTGTGGGGGAGCACAGCAGGGCAGATGTACCAGCCTCTCCCCATCCTGCGTCCACACGCTGCACGGCTCCGTGACTGGCCAGGCGTCCCCGCCTGTACTGGGGCCTTCTGGGCGGCTTGGCCAGCTCTGCCGGCAGACAGTCGCCCCCCCCCGTTTACCCTCCCACCCTCTCTCTGCAGGGACAGCGTGTCTGTTTCCTCTGGGTTCAGCACATGCTAGCGACAACCCTCTCCCACCAGACACCCTGTGGTTTTTCCCAAGCCTGACTCTGTTGAGACAGAGGCTCTGACCCTCCCGTCTGCAGTCACCAGCTAGCTGCTCGCCTCTTTCTGTAACCTCCTTAATTTCTGGCTCCACTTCCTTTGTCTTCTTGTGATACCTTGTCATCATCCTGATTACAGCTCTTGCTCCAAGTTCTCATATAAGCTTATCACTAACATTTACAGGCGGCTCGGTTCCTTCCACTGCGTGAAAAATGTGTTTGCTTCTCCTGGCTGCCAGGGGATCCTCCAGCTAGTCTTCTGGGCATTCGATTTCCCAGAAGGAGGGTGTCGGACCTGCCCTGGAACCAAGAGAGGACAGGGCTGTATTCTTCTGTCACCCACGGTCCTCGCCCAGGTGGGCTTGCTGGCACCCGTGGTGAAGAAGGAGGGGATACACCGGGGTCAGAGATGGTCATGAAACAAATCCAAGATGAGTGACCGTGACCTTGGTCACCCCTGACCTTGATCATGACCAGTCACCTCTTGGCCTCCTCCCTGGTCACCCTGAGGAGTCTCTGGGATTTCTCCTCAACACGTAAACACGGCATCTCTCAGGGTCCTCGGCCTCCCCCGCAGGCACTGGCAGACCACGGAGACAGAACAAGGAGACCCTGAACGAGTCACTGGGCTTCCAGGCAGTGCTCTGAGCACTTAGATCATTCTTTCGATGACTCCGTGGAGCGAGCAGCCCTGCAGCGCGCTTTGTACTGAGAAAAGAAGGCGCGTCGCGCGAGCAGGGCCGCCACACTGGTCTCTGAGCCCAGAGCGCCTCCTCTGAGAGCCGCGCTCGCTCCTGCGGGCCGGGACCGAAGGGGTGAGTGTGTAACCCCCAGGGCACCTGCCATCTACTGTTGGGGTCCTGATGAAGCAGCATTTGCACCATCTGCTGCTGCACCGCGAGTTCCCGCAAGTTTATTTATTGGTTGTTATCATTCCCACATCTACTGTCTCACAGTGTCTGTGGTCAGAGGTCGGCAAGCTTAGCTTTGGGTCCCGCAAGCCTGCAGTGGAGGTGTGGGCCGGGACGTGGTCTCCCCTGAGGCTGGACGGGGCAGGGGTCCGCTTCCCCGCAGACTAAACACTGGGGGCGGGGGTCCCACGGAGACGCTGCTGCCCACGGGCATCTTCTCCACGGGCCAGTGATGCTGTGGGTTCTGTGTGATGGACTGTGTGACCCGAGGCCAGACCCGCCAACTCTCCTGGGCTCCTGTTCTGGGACTCAGAGAGGGCATGGAGGGTTTCCTACCAAGACAAGGGTCCTGGAGGAGGGGCAGGGGTCATGCTGAGGAATGGCCGCCGGTCCAGAAGGACCCTGAGAGGGGTCAGCAGGGATGACCACAAAGAGGAGGCTTCAGGTGGCTTCAGGCTTCAGGGCCTGGACTCTGAGTCGTGATAGGGACCCAGGATTGTTGGGGCCATGGGTTAGGCACCTCCTGCTGCCATCAAGCTTCCTGGATATCTAACCTCCTGAAACAGCAGACGTTTGTCACTGCACAGAGTTTCCAAGGGTCGGGGCTCTTGGCGGAGCCAGGCTGAGTGGTTCTCACTCAGGAAGCTCCAAACAAGCTGAGGGCTGGAGCTGTGGTCCCCCCCCGAAGGCTTCGCTGGGACCCAGAGGTTCCAAGTTCACACACGAGCTCGTGTGCAGGAGGCCCCTGTGCCTGTCCTGTGGGCTCCGCTTGGCGGCTGGCTTCCCCCAGAGCAAGCGATCCCAGAAGGTGAGACAGAGCAGCGAAGACAGAAGTCACTGCGTCCTTGGCCGTCTAATCTCAGAAGTGGCAGCCCAGCCCCCTCCATCACCCAGACCCCCCACCCCAGTACGGTGTGGGAGGGGACTGCATCCCTGGGATGGGGGCGAGGGGGCCCGATCAGAGGCCGACCACCGCAGGCTACCTCCTGCTGACGTCGCAAAAAGGGGGCAGCTCAGAACGCAAGGTGTTGCTGAAAATGATGGCACACCTCGCTTAGTCCCTCCACACGTAGCACAACTGTGACTCACTCAGCCTCCCCGGAACTGGAGAGGAGCCATTGTCCTCACACCCACTGGACAGGCTACACGTGTCTGGCGACTCACCCCTGGGGGGGCCTGGGATTCCCCGTGGTGACAGTGGAACCTTGGAGTCCCGCACTCACCCCACTGGGGGGCAGGCTGTAAACTGGAGGGTGGGGAGGGCCCCACACACACTGGGGTGCAGGCCTGGGTGGCGAGGAGCTGGGCCTGCACCCCGGACCTGCTGACCCCCAGCTCCCTACATGGGCTGAGGCCTTGGCCCAGGCATGGGGCCCTCCTGACCTGACAAAGAGGAGGACAAGAGAGGCCAGGAGGGGTCCACTCACCAGGGCAGGAGGAGGAGAGAGACCCAGCCCTGGGGCAACTCCCGAAGAGCTGGTCCCACCCCAGACCCGCGGGAGCTAGTGGTTTGAGGGGCTGGCTCACCAGCAGGAAGGCCCTGGGCGTGCGGAGAAGAGGGCATCACCAGCGCACCTGGAGCCACAGAGTCAGCGGGGTCCACGGGCAGGGGTCTCGCCCTCCAGCTGCCCAGCCCGCCCCCTGTGCAGGGTGGTCAAGGCGCTGCTCCGAGCCTGAGGAGTGGTGATAGCGGGTCTCACGAAGGCCAGACCAAGGGAAAGCAGGTCACGACTCGACTGATACCTGGCACCTGTGCTGAGCACTGCACGCTCTGCCCCACTCACCCCGAGGCCTTGGGGACAATGCTGACGTCCCCCGCACCTGGGGACGTGGAGACCCCATCTCAGAGCGAGCAGATTGCCCACCATCCCATGGGAGGCACCTGTCACTGCCTCTCGGCCTCCCCACCCCAGTTCTGGGTGGAGGAGTAACGCTCTGCAGAGGCGACAGGTCCATGCCCTGAGGGCCCCTTTCCATGGGCTCTATCCTCTCTTAACTGGCATCTTCAGTAAAGTGCACGAGGGAAAATGCCAGCCTCTTGGCACTGAGCCAGCAGGAAAGGAGGCCTGGGAGAGGGGGTTAGGGCCAGGGGAGACACACCCCATCTTACCTGCAGACCCCGGGAACAGAGCCGTGAAGCTGGGGAGGTCCCTGCAGAATCTGTCCTTTGGGACGGAAGCAAAGGACAGGAGAGGATCCTGAATCGGTTTGGATGCCTTGGAGGATACAGGAGGTGAGGAAGGGGGAGCCCAGGGGTCCCTAGGGCAGGAGTGGGCCCCCACAGGGAGGCTGCACAGAGGCGGAGAGGCCAGGAGGAAAGCGGTAGAATTCCCTTTTGGGTTTATCTCACTCCTTCCATTCTTTCTCTTGTTGTTCAGTCACTCAGTTGATGTTCTGAACTTACTGGTGGGACCAGATGCCATGATCTTGGTTTTCTGAATGTTGAGCTTTAAGCCAGCTTTTTCACTCTCCTCTTTCACTTTCATCAACAGGTTCTTTAGTTCTTCTTCACTTTCTGCCATAAGGGTGGTGTCATCTGCATATCTGAGGTTATTGATATTTCTCCCAGCAATCTTTATTCCAGCTTGTGCTTCCTCCAGCCCAGCATTTCTCATGATGTACTCTGCATTGAAGTTAAATAAGCACGGTGACAATATACAGCCTTAACATACTTCTTTCCCAATTTTGAACCAGTCTGTTGTTCCATGTCCAGTTCTAACTGTTGCTTCTTGACCTGCATACAGATTTCTCAGGAGACAGGTCAGGTGGTCTGGTATTTCCATCTCTTGAAGAATTTTCCAGTTTATTGTGATCCACACAGTCATAAGCTTTAGCATAGTCAATGAAGCAGAAGTAGTTTTTCTGGAAGTAACAAATAGATTCAAGGAATTAGCTCCTTCCTCTACATGTCTATAAATTACACTACAGATTCTATACATGTACCACTGCCCTGACTTCAGTGTGTGCGTATCATGGGGGTCATTCTTAAGCTCCCCTTTTATAGGAATGTTGGCTCTGGAGTCCTTAGTAGGACCGACCCTGGGCCGGATTTACACTTCATGTTTTCCATCCTACAGGGGCCCTGACACTTGAGAAAAGGGGAACCGAGACGCGGGAAGGGACACGTTCTGGGCTGGGTCGTTTGGACCCTGGGCCAGGCATGGTGCTGGGTGTCCCCGCCCACCTGGTCACTAGCCGAGCAGGTGGAGCCACCGCCCCGGGCACCTGGAGACAGCGCCTTCCTCAGGAGAGTGGGGCCGGGGCTCCAGCACGCCCGGGCTTCCTGTGCCCCTGCTCCCAGAGACAGGAGGGGAGATGCTGGGGGGGCTGCCGGCCTCTGTGCCCCCAAGGCCACTGCCTGGGAGCCCGTGGGGCTGAGAGCCCCCAGCCCCTCCAGGAGATGCGGAGGAAGCACCCCCTCCCTCCCCACCAGCCTCTCACCTGGTTTCAGAACGCTGCCCCGGGGCCCCAGCTCTGACTCCATGCCCCCCTCCTACTGAGGTGGTGTGGTTGCAGGAATAGCCACTGGGCTCATTTCATAATAAAGCAAATTATTTATAAGCCTAGTACTTTAGATATTCTGGGTGATAGCTTATTTACAGAACCTGCCTCGCCACTGGTTTTGACCTACAGGTGTTCCGAGGCTCTGTCTGCGCTTCTGGGGGTGTCCCAGGAAGGTGTGACCTGCGGGGGGGGGGCATTCCCAAGAAGGTGTGACCTGTGAGTGGGCATCCCAGGAAACTGTGACCTGCCAAGGGAGGGTCCCAGGAAGGTGTGACCTGCGAGGGGGGGTTCCCAGTAAGGTGTGATCTGCTGGGGGGCGGGGGGCAAGATGTGACTGGTACCGGAAGACCTGGACTTTGGTCTGAGATCCTCCATGACGCCCAGTGGCAGACCAGCCTGCCACCAAAGGCACAGCTGGGGTGGACCGTTAGAACTTCAGTGACGAAGATGTATGCGCATGTGTAACAGCTGTGATTAACGCAACACTGTAAAGCAACCACAGAAAAAAAAAAAAAAAAAAAATCTCAGAAAAAGTAAAACAAAATATGGAAAAAACTTTAATGAAGAAATTTTAAAGGTGAAAGTTTCTTCCCCAGGGGTCATACAAAGAACACCGAGAGGAAACTATGAAGAAATGAGGAGAATTAAGAACTGGACCCCCACCGGGTCAAGAGCAGTCTTTTGTAACTTGATATATACTAAACTTTGCAATATGTATCACTGTTGAGTTAATGGGAGAATTACAATTCTCTAACTCTCCATAACAGGTCTCATTAAATCGAAGCAAACATTTGGTACTTGGGAGCTCTGCATTACAAATCTAATTAAGACTCCATAAAAGAAAATAATTCCAGTCTGCATTCAACCGTCCCATTATCTCTCACGGTATATGATTGCTGCTTTATTAAACATCAACAAAGAAAAACAAGTTCCAAGCGGGTCTGTCCGTTTGTTTGGGAGCTGGCAAAACAATATGAAACTCAATCACTCATAACAATGGGTTCCATCTTGGGAAGATTTTCAGCTGCAGCGTGCACGTTGCTGGCCAGGCAGATTCTCTATGGGTTCAGGGAACCTTGAAGATGTGGAAACAGAGACCAGTTCCCTCCAGGGACTGCAGCTCTGCTTTTTAAGTCTCGGATTCCGGAGGTCAGAGTTTGTCTGGCTGGACAGGTGAGTGAGAGCACCCCGGGCTCAAACGACTTCACGGGGGGCTGGAGCAGGGACCCCTCTGCAGAGGGCAGCCCAGGACGACCCCCCGAGAATGGCAGAACGGGGCTGGCTCACTCGCGTCAGTCCCAGGCCCCCCAAAAGTGAGGTCCGCCTCAGGACAAGGCTTCCTTTCCTTCCTCGGGGATGCTGCCGTGTCTTCCCCATGTGTCCCCGACCCCCAGGGGTATCCACGGACTGGCCTTCCTTGTGCATCCCTAGCTCCTGGCATCATTAATGGAGACTCACTCGGCTTACAAAACAAAATGTTTGAGACCCAGAATTAACTCTGCCAAAGTATCCACAAGAGCAAATGTGCCCACGGCCGGTTCCCACCAAAATCCAGACAGGGCTGATCTGTGCTTTCCCGCACGTGAGCTTGAGACGTGATTAAGTGATTGAAGGAAGCACCCTAAGGTGCTCATCCTCACATGGGAAAGCCTCTTAGCATCGAGTTCCCGTCTCTGCTTCCAGCGTCTGACCCTTCCTGTCCTGCGCTGTGAATGACTTGTGACATGGGTTCTCTTCCTCTGTGGGACCTGCTAATGGACTCCAGCTGTCCACGTGCAGCTGGTTGTCACAGCCGTCCTCTTTATGGGGAAACTTGATGGATTTTCTTTTACTATAAACATGCACAATCGGAAATGCCGGCTCCTTTCCAAAGTGCGAGGGGAAGATATAACAGGTAATCGTGCCTTCAAAACATTCGCCATGAGAACTAAAGCTTGACTTTCATCTGCGTCCCCCTCCATGCACCTTGGGAGATGGAGGAGCTGTCAGTTAGAATGGCTTTTCACAAATGAAAACTTATGTTCAGTGGGAAGTGATTTTCTGTTAAAAATCAAAATAAAGTCCTAAATGGATGAGAAAGAATCAACTAGAAGCTGTGATGGTACAGAGTCTCACTGTCACCTATCAGTAATTCACAGCACGAGCAGTGGGGTCAGCCCGTAAGTATTTTCTGGGTGTACTCAGTCATGCAGTTGTGTCCGACTTTCTGCGACCTCATGGACTATAACCCACCAGGCTCCTCTGTCCATGGGATCTTTCAGGCAAGCATACTGGAGTGGGCTGCCGTTTCCTCCTCCAGGGGATCTTCCCGACCCAGGGATCAAACCTGAGGTTTTACGTCTCTTGAATTGGCAGGAGGGTTCTTGACCACTGAGCCATCTGGTAGGTATTTTCAGCTCTCATGAAATAAGCTTCACATTCATTTCTACAGTGTGAATCCAGATTCTGTAAGAACTCAGTGCTCCTGCTGTTAATGGGGCTCCAGGGCACATCCTACAGTGTTTTTCCCATCACAGGAGCTGAAGGTTATTCTCACCTTCATACAATCTGAGATCCAGCCGTCTAGGTAACTCTACGAGCCTGCCATGTCAGCCCTTAACTAAACACATTTTAAAATATAAAGATAACTGCACAACAGTTTATTTCAAGCACTGATATAAGTAAGAGTTTTGACCTATTGAACATCTACTACCACCATTTACCCAGCGACCTGCATCAGCCCGGCTGGTTCTTCCTCTGAAAATAGGTGAGACTTTGAAGGCTTGTTGTTAAGGTTTCTTAGGTGGCGCTAGTGTTAACGAAGCCACCCGCCAATCCACGAGATGCAGGAGATGGGGGCTCGATCCCTGAGTCCGGAAAATCCCCTGGAGGGCGAACTGGCAACCCACTGCAGTATTTTTGCCTGGAGAATCCCACGGACAGAGGAGCCTGGTGGACTACAGTCCATGGGGTCACAAGGAGTTGAAGATAGCTGATCACAGCACTGTTAGGTTAGTGAAGTGTGTGCAACCCAGGGTGTCCACTTGAGCAGGTTTAAACAGGAAATGGTTAATGAAAGAAATATTTGGTAATTTAAAGAATCCCTAAGGAAAACATAGATGAAGTTCCAAGGGCCACCCAGCCAGGAACCTGCAGGCAGAGATGACACGTGGGGACAGATGGCCCACCACGTGGTTCTGGGGGGATGCTGAGGCCCCGCCTCTCGCAGGGGCATGGGTGATGCTAGTGACGGGACCCAAGCAGCTCACCTCTGCCCCGGTCTCCAGGACACCTGCCAGGTGGACCCAGGGCATCTAAGTATCCTCCAGACGAGGGCCTCAGGGAGACGTGATTGCAAGGTGTCTCCAGGTGGGAGGGGCTGGAACGGTGTTGAGTGGGGTGACCAGCTGGACCCACTGGGGGAGTCCCAGGTTCACCCACTCATGAC